ACGCGTCCGGATGAATCCGATCGCATCTAGATCGCGCCCGAGGGCATCCGTTTGCATCCTGGACGCGGACGGGTGTATCTGGTCCCATCCAGGACCCGTCTAGATGTACCCTAGCATATCCAAGACGCGTCCAGATGTCTCCGATCATATCCAGAACGGGCACAGATGCATCCGGTTATATCCAGTACGCATCCGGATGCATCCAATCATATCCAGGAAGCGTCTGGAGGCTTCCGATCATATCCAGGACGCGTCCGTAGGTATCCGACCATATCCAGGACGCGTCCGGATGCAACCTGATCATATCCAGAAAGCATCCGGATGCATCCGATCAAATCCAGAATGCGTCCGGATGCCTCCGGATGTATCCAGACATATCCAAGACGCGTCCGGACGCATCGTGGATATGTCTTATCCGGAATGCGTCCGTATATATCCAGATATATCCAGGATGCGTCCGGATGCGTCCAGACATATCCAGGATGCATCCGGATGTATCCAGACATAACCAGGACGCCTACGGAGGCATCCTGGATATGTCTCATCCAGAATGCGTCCGTATATATCCAGATATATCCAGGATGCGTCCGGATGCATCCATACGTATCCAGGATGCATATGGATGTATCTAGACATATCCACGATACGCCTGGACGCGTCCTGGATGTGTTTTATCCTGGATGTGTCCGTACTTATCCAAACATATCCAGAATGTGTCCGGATGTATCCGGGCATGTCCAGGATACATCCGGATGCATCCTGGATATGTCTGGATGCATCCGGACGGATCCAGGATATACAGGGTGGGTGATCCGCGCCGTGGTTTTTTTCTGCTTATGCTGTACCGGATTCACGCGTGCGGGCGGGCTTGCCTATCGTCGCTCGCCATGGCGCCTTATGGCCCCGTGCGACTATGCAACCCGTCCGCACGCATGAATCCGGTACAGTATAAGCAGAAAAAACCACGGCGCGGATCACCAACCCTGTATCTGGATATATATACGGACGCATTCCGGATTAGTCATATCCAGGATTCGTCCGTACA